CTATGTTTGAAGTTGACACAACTGTTTGATAAAGTTAACATTAACTAATCTCCTGTCATTTTTACTGATATTCCGGATGTTTTGTCATCGATCTGTCGAAAATCTTCTGTAATCTGCAATTAGTGCAATTATTTATTGTGTTTAAATTTAATTCCTTTGTAAGTTGTAACTGCAGTGATTTCTGTCAACATGCTTCGCTCTGTAATATTTACTACACTTACCCAGTTACTGCAGTTACTAACAGTTTCCAACTGTTAACAATTCCTAGCTGTCCCACAGTTATCTTTCACAACTTGCAACCTTTTGTTGGATTTTAATCACTTCTGATTCAAAACTGAAAACGATCGCCATCTTAATTTCCTGAAATTGATCCCGGCTTTCAAATTGCAGTTTTGTTTCGAAGTGATTTTGATAAAAATTGTGAAGTAGTCAGTAGTATTAGTAAACTCATTTATTGCAATCAGAATACATACAACTTGAGGAGAAGGTTTAATTGTCAGTGAGTTTAACACTGGTTACAAGAGGAGGAGGAGGAGCCCAACAAGTACCCGCTAGTAGTAGTTACCTGACACTACTTCAATACACTACTGCAGCTCTGTACCATTAGTCTAACGTTTAATTAACTGGAACCCTTCCTTCTCCCAATAATTGCACTTTCACTGTACCTCCTGTCTCTGTTTTCAGGAAAATAGCTTAACCGTTGTTAGAGGTTGGAAAATTAATAAATTGATAGTTTGGCGTTATAGTCGGCATATATTGAAAACTTAGTTCATTTATAATTCAGAGTCAGTTGTAAATTTGTGAGTGAGACGATCACTTTTTTACTTTTTCATATGCTCAATGCTCATATGTTAATACTTTAATATACTGCTAGTTTTTCTTTAATAATTTTGGAGCCATGATTGGATTAAGAAGATGCATCATATTGTTTACAGAGATTAAAATATATATCATATGATTCATAAGTCCAGACTTTTGATTAACATCAAACGATTAGCTAATATAAACCATCAGCAACAAATAACGATTCTATTCGCTGCGATAGTTTTTATTTGACTTTTAATTAACTTAACGTCTGCACAATCTATACATATATTCAGTATAATGACACCTGCAGTCCATTTCGGCTACGCACTGTTTGCTCAAACATGCACACGAATATCTATTAAATCAATAATTGTGAGGTAATCGTTACCTTGGACCCCAGGCTATAATTATGTTCATTATCATAAACATAGAGATTCGGTGGAATGACAGGCTGAGCGCCGCCCAGTAATTGGTAATCGCAGTTACTTTCACACAATGTCATCTCCTTGAAGTTGATCTAAACATCTTTTCTTTGTCCACCACAATAAATTCGGAAATGATAATTAAAATCTTAATGCCGAACAATTTCCGCTTATTAATCATATCTATCTTGAAGATCAAGTGAACATATCCGAGCTGAAATCAGTTTAGCGTTAATTCCACCGTCAAATGGGCATGTGTCGTAAATTCGTTTAACATATCTATTTGTCGTGATCAGGAAAATATAAGGCAAAGCAACAAATTTTCATTCATTTCAATATCCCTGAGAATTTAATTGTCCGAGTTTCGTTTCCGAGTCTGGTCATGATAGCGTTTATTTGAGCAACCAGGATTTGAATATTTTTAATAGGTCGTGGTACCTTGTTGTTCCTTTAATTTTGTTATCTTAAACGAACTTTTAGTTCGGCAGAAATGCTGGAACTAAAAACCATGTCTGTTTGACATATTGAGTAAATAATTGATTTATTGCAATTTTTATTTTATTTATTGAAGTCTGGTTATTATCTTGACATATATTCTTAGCTGTCATTACTAACATGTGTAATTATATTTTACTTCGAATTCGTTAACACATCTCTGACAAATGTACTAATTGTACAACTATCGATAGGAAAAATTTAGCTGAGCTTTTTTGTAGCGATTATTGAGCCATTTCTAAATTGTTTCAAATTGTTTTGTTAAAAGATATCGACAGTTTTGATGATATATAATTAATCGCTAATGCAGCAGCAGCAGCAAGAAGATTATGAAATCCAGCACCTGATTTCTCTATCGAACAGTTATCTCGACATGACCTTCACGTTCGGCGCAGGTCCTAAACATGATCCTTACATCAACTACTTTTTTGCAGCATTCATGATCGTGTGCTTCATTATTTCAACATCACTCAACCCCCTCATTTTCTACAGCTACACCAAGAAAAATAAAACAATCCAGAACTTTCTGTTTAAGGTGATAGCCTCGACGGACTTTCTGACGAACCTGGTGCCGACCCTTTTTATGAGCTACGTGTTCCTCAGCAAGATGCAGTTCGAATACACGTTCAATAACCAGCTACCTGAGTTCTTCAGCTGTACCTTTGGGTGCATCTCTCAAGTTACAACAACCATGATGGCAGTCACTCGCATGATTAGCATCCTCAAACCCTTCTTTATCGTCAAGTTTAAATGGGTACTGGCTTACCTCATTTTCTACGCAATCTACATGTCAATTGGAAACGCTGGCGGTTTGATCATAACCGGAATAAGGGATTCAAATAATATTAGTGAGAAGGAGTACCAAATAATGTTGAAGGAACATGGAAACAAGTTGGACTTCACTAGCGTCGCTACCATAGAAATTCTAAACAAATTCTTATGCTTTGCCATGAATGTCTTTCACTGCTTCCTGGGTATTTTCTGTAGTTTCGTCACCGTCGGATATCTACGTTCCATTGTCGGTGGAAGTGCTGAACAAGTTCGGAAGTTGAAAAGCTGCAATACCATCCTCATCATGAACATTCCCTATGTGATTTCTATCGTCAGCAATTTTCTTGCTTATTATCAAGTTATAGGAATAGACTTTAAACTTGTTAACCACTACCTACTCCCCATTCTAACAAGTGCCTTCAACCCATGCGTCATCGTGGCGCGCACACCTGCTCTCAAGGTAGCGTTCGCATCACCAAAGAACCGGCGACAATCCATGTATAGCAGAAGTGCCGTTACAACAGTTCACACCCAACGATTCACCCAAAAGACTCCCATCGTTATATTCGAGAACCCTAGCATGGGCAACGGGACAGAAACTGAAGGTTCTGGGGTATACTTTCCCGAAAACGAGAACAACATCGAGCTGGTGAGTGTGAGCAACACTTCCTCACCCTCCCCAGATCGGGTGAACTCTGCCAGCGGCAGTGATGAGAGGGTGTGTAGTGCGGACAGTGTTCTCATGGTGGATGATAAGAGTGAGTAAAGGAGGACGTGAGAACTAGACGTGTTTTAGTGATAGTATTTCGGGGCAGGGGTTGAGAGCACGATACAAGTTTTTAATTGTTTCTTATTTGTTTCTATCATGAGAGCAGAGTCTGCTCAGCAGACCTTCAGTGAACCTGGAGTGCGAGAGTCTGGTTGACTTTGTAGACACAATCATGAATGTAGTGATGATATGTTTTATTATTTGATAAGTTATTCGTTGCGAGAGCTAGTGATTTGTTTGGTCAAGAAGCAAGTAAACGTGATCAGTGACGATATTGTTATTATCACGAAGACTTGTCGATGGTCAGGCAATAATTCCAAACGCAATTTATGTAACAAGCAATGACTTCTAAATCTTGCTATTGAGGACTGGATTTCACTCCATATACCTCCGTAAACCCACAAATATTTGACCGAACTATGACAAAAACCAAATTGCTTAGACTATACACGTTTGCGTTACAAATTTCCATAAATTGAGCTGAAGGATAACATGTTAGCGCGCAGGAAGGTTTACTTACTGGCAGGATATCAAATTTTGATAATTTCTTCCAAAGCGTGACCTGAATTATGTAAAATATTTATATCTGTGCAGTGTGCATTAAGTCTGATCTAGTAAATCTAGTAAATCTGTGCTATTTCCCAGACACTAGCTAGCCAGCTGTCTGGTGAGAAAGTTAGTTTGCTGGGTGAGAAAGTTAGTTTGCTGGGCCTGACCGTCCCACGCAGATCCGACTGTTTATAACTGATTAGATTAATTAATTTGTTGAAAGATAATATTTAGATGTTAAACGATTTTAATTATCTATTAACTGGGCATCGTTCACTCAAAATAGCTAAATAGATGCGATATACGTACCAGTGCAAATAAATTCTTATAAAATGTTTCTGGAGATGGACATCGAATATTCTAAATCGATTGTAGAACCATTCTAAAAAGGTGTTTTATTTAGCTGTGGGGAAGTGTGGCCATAAAAAGCAGTCGTTTAGTAATAAGCATTACATATATGCTGAAACAAACTAAAAATGCAGTTATCCTTCAACAGATCCACTCTTCAATATATGAGATAATATTAACGAGTTAAAGTAATAGCTATAAGTATAACACTGGTGGAAAGGACATTTTGAATTACTGAATAATAGCAGGACCACTAGAATTGGTTCACATCCCTGAAAACACAGCATATGCGGTCCAATAGTTACAATTTTCCAGCATTAGTGTTTAGTGAACGCCGAAAAAATGTTTTTCGAAATATCAGTATGTGCATGGTGCATCGGTGTACTAAATTCTTTAGTAATTAACGAATTGCATTAAATCCAAAGAGAAAACGGTAGTGAGCGTTCAGATAACTGTAAATGTGATAATAATAAATTCAGAATTAAAGATTTCGATTGTTTTATAATATATGTAATTACCTAATTTAATAAAATCAATAAAATAAAATAAAATAAAATAAAATTTAAAAATCTTTGCGAGGTCACCGCGGCCAAACTAACAAACCGGTTTCAGCAGAGACCTCACTAAATTTATACATCTAGTATATTTTAACACGTAACATACTGACAAAAGCCCTTTTAAGAGGGACGGAATAAAAAATGATAATCTACGCAGGCTCTTGTGACAATATCCGACATTTATCGTACATGATATCGTAAATTTTGGTTGTGAAAATTGCTTGATTGTATGCATATACATTATACAATGTATTTACGCTTATATTCACTGTACCTCTTCAGGTGGCCACGGTTGAAGAAGAACCTCCAGAAGATGCCTCAGCAGACACACTCCATGATTTAGTTTCTAAGTCTAAATTTGTTGGAGAAAAGGAGGCCGACGTTTCTGAGATTCATGTTAGGGCTATTAACGGTAAGTGTCACCTTACTTCGCTGTTACGGAGGGATCATGTATTTGGCTTAACTATGATATCCATGTGCTGATGATTAATGCTAAAAACATGATTCTGAGATCTGCAGCTGAATAATTTGAGACGCCGTCCAACTCTCACTATTTAAAAAAGTAAAAAAAAACATAACAACGAGTCACAAACTCAGGTGGGGGATCTTTCAACTGGAGGTTCCTACACAAGTTCCACTACGCCTATCTGGAGCGCAAGGTTATAGTTGAGGGAGAGATCGAGGACCAAAAGTTCGACCCTGTTATTACTCTGAATATCAGTGATGCTGATCCTAGTATTGCACCACTCCCTTATGGTAATTATTGTGGTTGAAAGCTGTAAATTTATTTGGGAGATATGGCGGAATTAGTTCAACTAATATTAAAGAAATATTGATTTAATGAAATTAATCTGTATCATAAAATTAAAGTTATCTGTATAATAAATACCAATTATACCTGGTTTCTTAACTAAGACCCCCAGGTTCAGTGTCCCTGAACCTAGCGAACTGTCCTAGAGGAGCAACAGACTCAGCTAAATGTCACATGTCCATGATCCCCGGGTACGAAAAACCACCAGGTGGGTCCATGTTAAGTCTGGAAATAGTTTTTGCAGATAGAAATTAAGAGAAATAGCAGGTAGAAATGAAAAGGTAAATCGAAGTCTATCTTTATTATAATGCGTAAACAGTAAACAGCTAATGTGAACTGGAGTATATTTTTAGAGTTGATTGAAGAAGAAGAAGAGAGTGGCAAAAAGGAAACCATTCCCAAGCTAACCTATCTGTCTGTTTTTAAAAAGAAGAAAACACTGGGTATGAATCAGAATGCAAACAAATATAGTTTTAGACAACTTATACTTATAGCGTAGAAAAGTCATGAAAAGTTAAGTGGTTGACATTGAAATAATCTGCAGATTATTTATTTGTGGATCACCTTGAATTACAGCTCCTAATTGCAGGTTGGTGGCCGATTTATGTTAAAAAACCGAACGGGTACATGTACCAGACAGGCATGATAAGCTGTGAGCTGGAGGTAATGACCAAGGCCCAGGCCGCAAAGAGGCCTGCTGGGACAGGTCGAGGGGAGCCCAACACTAACCCTGTAATAGAAGAACCTATGTGAGTAATACATTTTTTAATTGGGCATTGGGGCTATAACAAATTTTAAAATTTGCGACCTGCTTAGCATTTTGTGTTTTAGCATTAAGTTTTAGGCTTTAGTATTAAGTTGAAAGCTCGGATGTTTTCACCAGTTTTGTATGGATGTATAAAATTTCAAATGAGATTGATTAAACCATTAAATCACTTGAATATTTCATTAATCAATCCATCTCGTTTCAGTCGCATCCCAACAACGTTCCCAGTGATTGATTCTAAGGTTAAGATGGTGAAGTTTATCTGGAAGAGTCCTAACAAACCGAAACTGATTCTTGGACTCATAGCGCAACTTGTAGGCGGGCTTCTAGCTGGATTTCTCCTCAACGCTTCCGTACGTTTTCACTTTTCACTCATCTTTATCAGTGGCATTGACTCAATACATTCTAAGTCCTACACCTTGTATTCTACATCGCAATATAGGTACTGATGAAATTAAAACTACTGTCGGTTATTATTTGACCGCCGCAATACGGTTTTATAACAATTATTTCAGGGTATGGTTACAAGTTTGCTCGGTGTTGGTGGTGGTGAAGAAGCATAAAAGACAAAATGCGAAGAGACCAAACGTACCACATTTACATTTACAGCCCATGACCCGCGGCCGCATTTGAATAATCTAAACTGCACTCGAAACCAAGGAACTGGCAATGGTAAAATCTAAAACCAAAGCCAGTAGAGAATAGAATTGTAAATTTTCTGTAGATGTTAGGGCGGAATGATTTTTACAGAGTCGAAAGAAAGTAGAATGACAATAGATTATTTTGCTTACAGTTTAAATCGATAGAGATGACTCTAACCAGCTTTGCGACTTTCATTTATAGTTTAAATAAATGACATCTTAAAAGTTTTTTATCTACTGAATTAACATTGTTAATCACCATGTTGTAACCATAGATCAAGGATTCTTTTAACATTTCAATATTACAACACTAGTATGTTTTGGTTGTCAAAGTTAAAAAAAATATGAAGCATGATGATGGTGGTTATGATGATGATGAAGATAATCTTGCTTGATTGACGATGTCAATCCGTCGAGATCGTTGCTCTGCGAAGCAGAGCAACGATCGTCGACGGATTGAGATAATTACTTTCATCACGCGCATTGTGAGCCGCGCCAAATGAAATTGATGACAATGTGCACTTTGGTAACCAATACGGTAATCTAGCACGTGTGGAGCTGAGAGCCGCGCACTGCTCCCGTATTGCTGGCAGGCAGCTGCAAAACTGACTGTCATGATTGATTGATTGGGAATCGAGCGGTTTACTCGATTAATGTTTACTCAAAATTATAATACAAACAGTAATAGATAGAAAATAGTAACGTTAAAGAATTCTTTTAAAAAACCCTCTGGAAAGGGCACTGCACACGGTTTATCAAAAAGTACACTGTGATCATGAAGTACTATGAACTACAGATTTAAAAAACACAACGCTTCACGCTACACATGATATTACACATCCATAACCTATAGATTAAGAAGTTTAGAATTGCACTGAACAGCTTGGACTATTGATTTTAAAATTTTGTGCAAAATTTTACCATCAGTGATTAATGATTTTGGCCGGTAACTCAGCGCTTACAGTAATTATGAGTGCGCGATTGAGATTAATGTATGGAAAAAGAATTTAGCGGCAGTGAAATGCTTGCTTATCTACGCTAAGTGGGGGTAGTTATGCGAGCGGTTATTATATTGGTAGTCAGTAATTGCGAGTTGTCATTTAAATTTGTGTCATTTAGTGTAGTTTCTATGTGCTGGGTTGTGTGATTTTCATACTGCTCCCTGTTGCAAGCCATTAATTAGACAATAGACTTAATTTAAACTTAGATTATATTCGTTTCAGTTGAAATTCGATTCAGGTTAAATGTTAAAAGTTTAAATTTCACGTCTAGACTGTCTTAGGCCAGGAACATTGTGCAGTAGGAATGGTTGCCACTCGTTAACATCACCATCACTTTGAAGATTAAGAAGCATTTTCTTGGCACTACTCTTGAACAGATTTATCGAAAATAATGTCGGAAGTGTAGTAACGTCTGCTTTGTCTGCGAAGACAGAGAGCAGTGGTCCCTTGTAGAAAATACTGTTTTGAAAGTGTCTTTTCCCGTATAACTGGAGCCAGGAGCAGGCTGACGTGTGATCAGAAAGTTTTGTGGGTATGTCGACGGGAAAAGCTTGAGAGATGTTTTTGGGGACTAATTGTGGCATGCTTTTAACTTTATGCATCAAGATAATTGAGTTGTAAACGATAAGACCATGCACAGTGAGAATTTCATGTTCACTGAAAAATGGCTTTGTGTGTTGTGGTAAGGCACCTTCCTTAAAGTAGTAGTTTACGAAGCCAGGCATAATAGCCCTTATTCCTTGCTTCTGTTTGCTGAATAAAGCATCTATATGGCTTTTTGCAGCAAAACCCCATATCAATGAACAATAGTTTATATGAGACTGTACAAAGCTTTGGTATATCTGGAGTCTAACTTTAATCGGCAGCCGACTTTTTATTTTGTACATAATACCAATATACCGCATCATTTTCGCTTTAAGAGCAGTAATGTGACTGGTCCAGGTCAATTTTTCGTCAACAATTACGCCAAGAAATCGGGCCTCAGTTTTTCGCTCAATAGTGGTGCCTGCAATTTGAATATTTACGTCAGGTGTTGAGGTTCTGTTGGGTGAGAGGAGCATGTAGCACGTTTTCTTAAGGTTTAACGAAAGACCATTTTGATCTACCCAGTTTATCAATAAAGGTGAAAATTCGGTCATCTTTTGTAGTATTTCTTGATGATTTTTACCTGAGATAATTATGTTTGCGTCGTCAGCATATAAAACAAATTTAGCGTACGATTTGATTTTTGGCATGTCATTGATATATATTATGAAAAGTAAAGGTCCTAAAATACTGCCTTGCGGCACTCCGTGTCTCATGGACTGTGAGGAAGAATTTGTGCCCCCTATTGAAACATACTGACTCCTGGAACTTAGATAAGACTTGAACCATTGGTGTGCTAGTCCTCTTATGCCATAATGATACAGTTTGTCTAAGAGAATATCGTGGGAAATTACATCAAACGCTTTGCTAAAATCAAGTAGGAGGAGTAGAGAGACCTCTTTTTTGGAGAGGTTGTGTCTAATCGTGTTGGTTGCATCAAGGAGCGCATGTTCACACGACCGACCCGGCCGAAAACCGTATTGTCCTTCAAATAAAGTGCTATGTCGCTCCAGGAAGTCAAGGACTCTTCTGTGCATGAGTTTCTCATAGATTTTTGAAAAGGTGCAGAGCAATGATATTGGTCTGTAGTTTTTCACATCCAGTTTTGAGCCTCCCTTAAGGATAGGAACTACCTTTGCAATTTTCAGTGATGTCGGAAAGCAGCCTTCATTGAAGGAAGAATTTACTACATTTGAGAGTATTCCACAAAACTTAGGACAATCCTTGGCAATCTTGAGCGGCTCAACTTTTACATCCTGTGTGGCCTTATTTTTCAAGGTACATATTGTTCGTTGGATTTCGACAGGATCAGTGGGCGAGATGAACATGCTCTCCTCAACCTGGCTGTCTAAATATCTTGCATGCCCGCCAGGGTCGAAAGTGGTACGCGCACTGATCTGATCTTTGATTCTAGTTGCTATATTAGCAAAGTACGCGTTGAAATGTTCAGCAACATCGCGGTTCGAATTTATCAAGTTTCCATCATCTCTCCTCAATTTGAATTTGGAATTTTGCTTAGCTTTCCTGCCTAGAAGTTTATTTATCATCTCCCACTGTTTCTTGGAATTGTACTGATATTCTTCAAAGTATTTTTTGTGGTATTTGTCCCTTGCTAGATTGATATGTTTTTCACAAAAATTTTTCAATTTTTTGTACGTAGCATCATTTTTCTGTGTGGGGCAAACTGTGGATTCAAAATACATCAAGTTTTTTCGAGCACACGCGTCTTCAAGCCACGGCAGAATAAAAGGCTTGGGGTTTTTCCTTTCATTCATCCTTCTGACATGCTTAGATTTGATTGGATACGCGGTGTTATAGTGCTTGTTGTAAATTTCGTTGAACTTATCATACTGCTCATTAGCATCCATGTTTGATGTTATTTGCTCCCAATTTTCAGCGTCGATCAGTTCGTAAAATTTTAAGTTATTAGCGGCGTTGAATGCACGTGTATCACGCTTTTGTGATCGTTCGGTTTTGGATCGATCATTAGGCTCATGGTAGTCGGGTGCCGCGCGGACTTATCGCTCGGTCGATCGAGCGATAAGTAGCTCCTTATCGCTCGTGCGCGTCGTCACTTCAAGCACAATTGCGCGTCGTATCGTACTCGATGCTTGCCAAAGAGCTTTAATACTTTGGTTTTGGCGTGTTACATCTGAAGTCCAGAAGATGAATCCGAGATTGTGGAACCAGATGATACGGTTTTTGAGGCATTTTGATACGGTCATTTCAGTCTTTTAAAGTAGTTTCAGAGTGCTGGAAATGGTTGTACGGTGTAGGGGGATGTGTTTACTAACTATTTTGACGTCAAAATTGTCGCCAGAGGCTCCCTGAGTCATGGAATGAACGGAATGAACAAAAATGAATTTTTTTTCTAAAACTCGTCGGATTGCCCCAAAACAGGTCGGAATCGTTTGGTATTGACCCTTATAGTGTTCCTACAAAGTTTGGTGGCCCTAGCACTCCCAGAACGCCCACTAGAGACTTAATTCCATTTCCGTATCAAAAAGCTGGTTCCTGAGTATCCGATATTGATACGGTCATTTCAGTCTGTTAAAGGGGCTGCAGAGTGCTGGAGATGATTGTACGGTGTAGGGGGATGTGTTTACTAACTATTTTGACGTCAAAATAGTCGCCCAAGACTCCCTGAGTCATGGAATGAACGGAATGAACAAAAATGAATTTTTTTTTCTAAAACTCGTCGGATTGCCCCAAAACAGGTCGGAATCGTTTGGTATTGACCCTTATAGTGTTCCTACAAAGTTTGGTGGCCCTAGCACTCCCAGAACGCCCACTAGAGACTTAATTCCATTTCCGTATCAAAAAGCTGGTTCCTGAGTATCCGATATTGATACGGTCATTTCAGTCTGTTAAAGGGGCTGCAGAGTGCTGGAGATGATTGTACGGTGTAGGGGGATGTGTTTACTAAATATTTTGACGTCAAAATAGTCGCCCAAGACTCCCTGAGTCATGGAATGAACGAAATGATCAAAAATGAACATTTTTATAAAACTCGTCGGATGGCCCCAAAACAGGTAGGAATCGTTTGGTATTGACCCTAATAGTGTTCCCACAAAGTTTTGTGGCACTAGCACTCCCAGAACACCCATTATACCCTTGGCTGGATTCAAGAATTTAGAACCAGTTGAGCAGATAAAACGGATTTTGAGAAATTTTGTCTGCTTGTGTTGTTGCAGAGAGTTGAATTTGGTTCAACAGTATTCAAACAAGATGTGTTCCAACTTAGTTTTGTAGCCCTACCAGTTTCAGAACGTCCACTAGAATCCGGTTCCATTTTCTTCCAAGAAGCTGTAGACAAGGTTGTTTGAAATTTAAATTTAACCTCTCTGGTAATACAACTTTTTACTTGGATGGATTTCAATAATTAAAGAGAGCAGATTGTTACTTTGTTATTTTTGAGATTTGATTTTTTGATATCATATGTATAAATGTATAAATCAGTTTCTACAAATTATAACAGCAATTGGCAGTAATAAAGCGGTAGTAATAGTTTTGCACAACATCAATCATAATATCATTCAATACTTCAATACCTTCAAAATAATTTAACTCGGTTATAATAATTTAAACGCAGATCTAAAAGAACTAAGCACAGTAGTAGGATGAACTTCCAGGCAAGGTTGGAGGAAGGTAGAGGTGAAGCTGTGGGTAAGGATAGTAGGCTGGGAAGGATCCATTTCTGATCCAGAGCTGATGATTTGGG